GATCTACTATCTAAATTCGCAAGTCATCCCTGCCCTCCAAGCACTTTCGTCCAAACTTCCCTACGATCTCTGGATCTAGGGTGGATCCATCACGTGCCAAGAGAAGAAGTTTTGGGCTCACCTTGAGTCAGGTTCACAAGGTTAGCGAGCGATCACCTGTAAGTGTTAGTTTCGGCTGATCACATTTTGCACTCTCTGCGCGCCAGAGCTTTTGGAATGGCCAAGCACCATTCTTGTCTACACGTAGACATCGGGCGCGGAGAATGTTTGCTCTTCACTTGCTGCACAAGAGCAAGTAAAAGTCTTGCCCGTATTGCAATTCAAAGCTTCCGTCATGTTGCGAGCCTCTAGTCCCATGATCGAAGCAGGATAGTTGGCATACTGCAAAGTGTCCGTGAAACTGGACCACCAATTCTGAGTTCCTTCAAATCTGGAACCGGGACCAGCTTCCCCAAGTTGTTGAGCCATTGCAGCTAGAGCATCGGTACCCCATTGCCAGGTGACCTCCTCCACGGAGGATCTCAAGCAGGTCGCCTCAGTTGAAAGGCTCGGTTGCAAAACCACTGCCTCGGCCACGTGTCCAGGCACATCCGTCCGTAAGCCTCGAACGTCTCGCACGGGGGAGGGTCGCGCGGGCAGCTTTCGCAGCGCTTTGAAACGCTCCACTCCAGTCCAGCCAGTCTTTACTCCACTGGGGTCAGGAGCACCAGCGTATGCAGTCGGCCGCCAGCGGTAGATCCAGTAACCCTGGGCATCTACAACCACCGCGAAGACGTAGGGCTCATCCCAAAGGTTTTCAAATCTTTGGGTGCCTTCCCGGCCTCCACCCCAGTGGATGGTTTCTCGCCATGGCCTGCAGCCTGGCTGATCAGGCTTGCTTGCACATGAGCTCCGGAAGGCTTCGGGAAACTTGAATTCGGAGCGCATACCGTTTGCTTGTCTTGAAGTGTACGAAATGGGCATGCAACCACTTGCTTGGGCATTCCTGAGGGAGGGTGAGTGCCGCACATGAAACTCCGTTGAGAAACTAAACATGTCCACCTACACTCTCTATCACTCTGTGGTGTCCAAGAGTCTCTGTGCTGTAGGCCATGTTGAGGTTACCAGGCAAAGGCTTGCCAGGCTCCCAACCCGCAGTGCCCTCCACTGGATCCAATTCCCACATCCAGCAGTTCGTACCTGTGGGAAGACCTGCAAAGACATGACACATCCGCAGAAATCTCATTGAAAACAAAAACCGGTCTGCTGCTCAAGCTAGTGCAAGCAGCTAACGCGTCACGCACATCGAGCGCCTTGCCCTTCCAAATTCAGGTTGAGCTGTGACAGCATGTAGAAGGCACCATAGTAGAAATTCTCTGCACTCAGGATCCACAAACCTGCTGGTGGTGTCACTCCTCCTTGGCTCGACAACGCAGGATGGTGGACTCCTTCTTCGGCTCTTCGGGTTCTCAAATGTTGCAGCAGGTTGGAGGCCAGGCCATCGCTCTTAGGTTGGAGGCCATCGCTCTTAGGTTGGAGGCC